CACGCAACTACAACGCGCCCACGCGCCAAAAAGGCTGGCACAAGATATCAGAGCTGCTGATATCGTTGCGTAGTTGATACATAAGATAGCCACCGCTATCTGTACTGTAGCGGGCTACCTAGCCCGTTACACGTAAGGCTTGCTGCAATTTACATACTTAAAGATAGTGTAAACGCAAGGCTTGCCTTTGCTTAAACAAGAATTACACTTGTAGAGGCTAGTGTGGTAGGCTTCGCTGCAGATCTGGCAGGCTACTTTAGAGCATTTAGCCTCTAGGTGCCTAAAACCTTGGCATTTAGAGCACTATTTAGAGTTATTAATAACTCTTAGTTTCTCTGCTCTAAGGCTCTGCCCTAGAATATAGAGCTTTCCTCTAATAGCTCTTTAGGCTTCTTGTTCTGTAGCAAAAGCTACGCAGGCGGATTGTTACACGGGGTTCGACTATACTTAGCTAGGACTCGATCCGGGTTAGGGCGAGTCAGCGGGTTCGTGGTAAGCCGTGTGATTGCCGAGTAATTCAGGTGGAAAAGAGTTATGGATGTTTAACCGATAGTAAAGACAATCAATTCTATAGTAAGATAGAATAACAAAGTACCAATCTTGTTAAGTAAAGAACTTGTAAGAGAGTACAGTATAATAAGTTGACCACAACGAGTGTAATAATAAAATCCAACACATTCTTATACCCATCGTGTTCTGTCCTGATGCTCCTTATTCTCCCTCGGAAGCATGTTCCCATGGGAGCAGTGGGAGCACAATTCTCCCAAGGCCTCCCATTCTCCCTTCCTTGGCGGGAGCATGGCTCTTGGCGGGAGCACACGTCACGTGATCACCGCGGGGTTGTCGTCGTGCCTTTGGTGTCATCCTGAGTGGTTCTCCAACCACTCGCCATTCCAACAAGGGAAGAATCCTTCTGCTTGTTACTTGTAACACGGATCTAAAGTTTTGGTTTTCTCTTCTAGATTCTAGTGTTAACCAGAAAGGGCTGCCTACTACTTTTAGGCCTTTATTGAAGATTTCAATTTCCTCCTTTAGGACCTCTAGGCTATGGTTTGTTGGTAGTTTATAGATAACTACTTTGAACCAAGGGGTGATTGGCTAGGCTGCTTTGAACTCTGTGATATCCTTCTAGATCTCTTGGTTTTCTAGAAGGTATTTTGCTAAAAAAGCTAGGGTGGTAGTAACTATTTTATTGCCTTTTGCTAAAGGTGTTACTAAGGCTACTACTAGGGATTGTACTCCTCCCTTTGTTGTAAAGGCTTTGTTAAAGGCGTTTCTAATTTTTAGAGCGTCGAATGCAGTAGGTATATCGCTAACTAGAATAATTTAGCGATCTAATAGGCTAGTAGTCTTTTTTTAGTTGTCTTTTTAGGTGTTTTTTTCTATGTGTTTTTAGTTTTGTTTTTTTAGATATATGTCCAAGGTTGTTCTTAATTACTAGCTGCTACTATTGCGTAGGAGCTAGGGGGCTGAGCTTGAGGTTAGGTAGGCGGGGTATTTGGTTTTTCAAGGCGTCTAACTTTCTCTCTTAGTTCTTTAGAGACGTTAGATAGAGAGGAGATTTAGTCTTCTAGAATTGTAGAGTTTTTCTTGTTGACTCTGCTATTCTCTGTAAAGTCTCTAAAGACTTCTACAAGGTCTAGTAAACTAGTTTGCCTAGTAGGGTTGTTTTTAGCTAGGTTAGCTGCTTAGATTACTAGGTTTCTAGCAATCTCTAAGGCCTCCTTAATAGAGGTTGCCTTTGGTGTTTTCTCTACTGTAGGGTATCTTGGCACTGCTCCAATAAATGGAGAAAAATTACTCCTTGTCCTAGTATGGGTAGGCCTAGGCGGTTCTTCTGGTTGCCTGTTAGGGCAAGGCGTAGAGGCCTCCTCAGCCATCTCAATTTCTAGATTATTATCCATTAGTCGTTTGCTTGTGCCTCTAAGGTCCTTTAAGGCTAGTCTTTTTTTATTATTTTTATTGTTTTAATATGTCTGTGTTTCTTGCTAAATTTAAGCTTTAATAAGCTCCTGCGTTCCTATTAGCCCCTCTAGTCTTAGCATTAGAGCCTAAGCTCTATGAGAAAATTCTCACAGGCGTGAGATAACGAAGGAAGGCCTCCTTCTTCTCCCTACTGCGCGCTAGCGCCTTAGCTGCAGGTGTTAAAAGTGCTGTTAGTCGATTCCTCGTGGTCGGTTCTCCTAGATAGCGTGCTTTCTTAGCGGTTTCCAGAAAACTCGAAGTTGGTGTTGGTAACTTTGTATGGTCGGTTCCCACAGCCCAGTTTAGCTAAGCTTAGATGCTTGGGGTCCAGTCTCCTAACCAAACCTTCCAACAACCACCATGCAACAACACATGGCCTTTTCACAATCGGCATTCGCTCCCGAGCCGTGACGGCCAGCTGGCTGCCACCTTCCGTAATCACCCTAAGGACAGCATGGCTGCATCCTGCGCCTAGCCATTGGCAGCGTCCCGGGGACGACGACGTTGACCGCCAGATGCAGCCTTCATGGCTCCTCGCAGCGCCATCTGAGATGGAAAACGGCGGTCGTCTTCTGTGACATCAGATGGATGCCTTTCCCGGCATCCGCATAGGGCAAACTTCTAGAAGGAAATACGACACCCCTGCCCTCACTCGTCACTAATCCGCAAGCGAGCGCAATACAGCCGCTGACAAAACCTCCGACTGCAACATGAACAGGCCATGACTGGTCCTCCCAAGTTGTGCGGGCATGCCGTGATGCAAGAGCCATGACTTCATAGCAAATGGATCGGGTCATAAAGTCCCGCATGACGGCGTGCAGCTGCACGGCGGAATTTAATGCGAGCTGAGTAAAGCACCCCGGTCCGGCAACTATATCCCGTGTTAACACAGCTAATATTAGCGACCATTCGACGATCCGCCGCTCCCATTCGCCCGTGCGTTTGACTCGAGCTTCGCCGGTACGAAATACAATGGATCAGCTCTGGACGGGCCAATCGATTCTGGACTACACCAAAAAGACATTGTCGCTTATCCTCACGACCTTGGCATCCGCCAACCCGGTATGCGCGCCAGACTTGCCATGGCAGAGTCGTACGGCGCGACTCTAGTCGCGTACCTGTTCCGCACTTGGTCTGGGATGGCCATCCCAGTGTATCTGGCTATTTGGCATGCTTACCAGACTGACGACAAATCGGCTTCGGCGACGGTCCGCCGCGCACGAGAAGACACCAGAACGAGGCTTGGCCAAGTATATTTGTCGTGTCGCGGGCCGTGTTGCAACGATGGTGTACATCAACGGTCGGTGCTACTGGCCGTCACCCTTACAAGGCCGAACCATCATACCCTGGCCTCCATCCGGTCCGGCAGCCCTGACGACATACATTGATTCTGGTGCGTGCGGCTCGAAAATAAGCATCTGACACCAGCAGCCCTACAGCATCCCGCTGCACCTTGACCAACCGTGCATTCCGGCTCTTTGGAGAAGAACGTGGCTCGGACGCCACACGTCTAAAATAGGCCTCTGTCTGTCTGCGCTCGACCCCATTCACCGGCTCCGCTGCAAGTCTCACCACCGTCTCCAGTCGACGGGTACCAGCTCACGATCCGATCCCCCAGCTTTGGAGCGCCCGGAGTCCAATACTGAGCCTCACTGCTGAAACGGACAACGCTTTGGCCTCACGACACGTGCGGTGAAGCCATTCCGGGATCATGCGAGAGTCGACCTGCTTAGAGCATCCATCAGTTTCTCTATTCAGACTTCGGTCTTTCTATTCTCCAGTCTTAGTGATCACCCAAGCGGACTTTTATCCAACCAACCTTGGGGGCTTGCATAGGGTCGTCGGATATATAAGAATTGGGAAACCTTCAATTCCGGATATCATCACCAACTACAACACCACCACCACCACCACCATCTCACCACTCACCACTAAAACCCACGACTGCAAGCGGTCAGCCAACACGCCACTTGGACATCACCCTACTTTGATACCCATCGACACCTCGCTCTCTTCCGATATATGAGCGATCGCCCCTCCGAGACTTCAAGCGCATCAAACTCCTCAAAGCCTGCTACTTCGAACAATTTATTCGAAGCCAGCTCATCTACCGGCTCCTCGGAAGCCCAAGACTTTACGGAAACTCCACAACCTCCCGCTGAACAAACCGTCTCAACACCCGTGATTGTCGTCACCAGGTCACGTACATCGTCACCAGAGTCTACTCCTCGACAAAGCCGCTCCCAAGTCCCACACCATCACCCAGCCGGCACTTCATCTTCCTCACCGCAATCTCCAACAAGGCAAGGTTCGCATACCCTGTACGAACGTCAGCAACGCTCCCGCTCCCAACCGCTCCAAGCAACCAGCCACAACACGACCACGACAATGTCTTCCTCTGCCTCTTCTCCTTCTGCCACTTCCACAGCCGGTAGCACTTCTGGATCTGGTCAGGGCTACCAGCTTCCGTATGCTCCGTTTCCCTACCCCATGCCTGCCAACCCCCGCGGAGGACAGCAGCAGGGCGGCCAGGGCAAGTAGAGTCTTGGCATTATTTCCTTGACATTAGCATCACACGGGTTGTGTCTTTTCGGTTTGCATGATTGGCTGGATACAAGCAGTCCACGGGGCAGTGGCTCTCTTCTCGATCAGGTGCATTTGTTTGCCAGGTTTCCGGAAAACTCTTCTTCTCTCTTTGGGGTTTCTACGCATTGGGTAGACTGCATTTTCCTAGCGCTGGGAATACCCTTTTCCTTGTTCCCCACTTTCCTGCATCATTTTCATGCATCATCAGCATCACTCTTCCATGGTTTCTGGGTCCTGCATTTCTGGTTTTCCGTTTCTCTTCCTTTTCCCCACATCATCATCATCATCATCACGGTCCTTTGCTTGGTCTGGCATCCTTATGCGGAGGTTATCGTCTCTTTCTTGTTTGGGTTTAGACTTTGCATGGTTGGCGTTTGCTCAATTTTCTTGTCCTTCTTCGCGATGCCGTTTCCATGTCATGCTCCTGCACAGTCAGGCCGTCAGCTTATTGCTCCGTTTGCTGGGCCGCGCCTGGTATGGGCGCGGGCCGTTGCGGAACCATGCTTGCCAGGTAGTCACTCTTTGTCCATAGCTCCACCCTATCAAATCTTTCTTATCCCCATCAGATTTCTATTCTCGCAGTGCTGAGTGTTTGTCGGTGGGGAACGTGCACTAGTTGGTGGTTAGCTATAGCAACGTCCAAGAAGTGAGCTAGCCTTGTCCACCCGGCGGGGCTATTTTTAGCAGCATGGCGTCGTATCCGAGGAGAAGGCTCCGCACAGTTTCGCGATACGGCGCTAGCAGCCACCAATACTCCAATACGATGTGGTAGCTATTGAACATGGGCTTGACCGTCGATGCCAGCCACGAGGTGCTCTGCGGGGATCCAATACTACGCTGACGGGCCGCCATTATGTCCAAGTGACGAGTGATAAACCCCCGGTGCCTGCTGCGCTTCGCACACGTGAAGACAACGGGAGCCGTAGCCATCCGGCGGCTATGCACAGCAGCCGCGGGTCACGTGCCGAGTCTGTTGGCGCGCCGCCGCGTTGGTCCGGTGTCATCGCAGACAGTGACAGGTACATGTTGGATGTCCATGGTTGGTGTTGACAGCTGGTGTTGGGGGCGGCGGAGCGGCAGCAGCGGCGGCGGCGGCGGCGGTGGCGGCGGGCAAAGATTCCCTGCCTTTCTGACTAAGCAGCGGCCGTTGAACAGCGTCATGCGCGCCGACTTTCCTCTTGTCGCCCCGGTCCACGCGACAACGCGACACTGCTGCATCGCGCAACTGCCACGGTAGCGCTGCTGATCCCTTCGTACGCTCTTTTCCGAGTCCCCTTTGACAGCGCATCTCTTGGCCAGCATCTCCAAACGGCCTGCCCAGACAAGTTTGCGACTGTCGGGCTGCCTCCTGGATCTCTTAACCCCCCGTATCGATTGCTGCATCCGTCATCGAAGCTCCGCCTTTCTCCCTGCTTCCATCCATTTCCCGCATCCGCACTGCATCCCGACACCCACCATGGCACCCTCACGGCCCCGCGCATCGCTGCTCTCGCTCCTCGCCCTCACGCCCTTCCTCCCGCACTCGGCATGGGCCTTTGACTGCAAAGACATCCTCGCCGACGGCGCACACTTCAACTTTAAAGACCTCGGCGGCCCGCACGTGGTGCACTGGGAGGAGTCGGAGATTGAAAAAGAGCTCAAGTTCAAGTACAACTTTACCCTCGACATTTGCAACCCGCTCAAATGGCACAAGGGCGGCTCGCTCGATACCGAGTGCCATCACGGCGCAAGGGTTTGCGGCATCCGCGAGATGATCGACCTGAACAAGGACAACAACCTGACCATTACACCCATCGACATTGCTGGCACGTATGCGCTGCAGAACGGAAGGAAAATCGACGCCAAGTTTGAGAATCTCGGCCACTCCAAGAGCAACTCTGATGCGAGAGAGGGTGTCAGGGCGACTCTGAACGGCGGCAGGTTTCCTTTTGACGATAAGAAGGAAGGCATGGACCAGCGGGCTATCATTGAGTTTGTGTGCGACAAGGATAGGTCGGGTCTGGAAGGCGGTGAGAAGGACGACAGCCCGCACGAAGACGGTGACAAGGACGAAAAGGAAAACGATGGCGACAAGAAAAAGGACGACGAGAAAAAGGGCGATGATAAAAAGGATGACAAAAAAGACGACGACAAGAAGGGCGAGAAACTAAAGACAAGAAATGACAACACCAAGGGCAAGTGCGAGGACAGCGACGCCAGTCTGCGCTTCTGCGGATACGAGGTTGAGACTGAAGCCAAGGACAAGAAGATTCGCACGCTGAGGCTCGAGTGGCGGACCAAGTACGCCTGTGCCGACGCACCTGAGCCTGACAGCGGTTCTTCGTGGGGCTTCTTCGGCTGGTTCTTCATTGTGTATGTGTCCTATCTTATTTCCCACCCACCTCCACACGCACACCGACCAAAACTAACAGATGGAAATAGTGTTTTCCTCGGCATCGCAGCCTACCTCATCTTCGGCTCCTGGCTCAACTACAACAGATATGGCGCACGAGGATGTGATTTGCTCCCGCATTCCGAGGCCCTGCGCGATATCCCATACATTGCAAAGGATTTTGCGCGAAAGGTCATGGATACAGTGCAAGGAGGGGGTGCAAGAGGAGGGTACGCCGCTGTATAAGGCAGAGAGTCATCATATTTTCTCTCTCTCTCTCTCTCCCTCTCTCTTTCCCCCGCCCTCTCTTATTCCTTTTATCTTTTTTCTCTCTACACTTTCAACATTGTATCTACACATACTCACTCCTAAATATGTGCATTGGCATATATGCTTTCGTTGTATGCTGCGCGAGGCGCGGGTGCGGAGATGCGGGGGGGGGGGTGGGAAGGCGCGCCAGGGCAAGGCTGGCTAGGGGCTTGCGGCTTGTGAGGAGGGAAAACAAGTCCAAGGCGAGGAGATATAAACCAAGTTTGTGGCTGTGCGTGTGTGTGTGTGTGTGTGTCTCTCTCTCTCTCTCTGGAATCATCGTAGCAATGAGGGAGTAGGGTTGTTTCTTTCTTTCTTTTTCTTTTGGGGGCCAACTCTGAATAGTTTCTATTCATTCCATGGCATGTTAGGGCGTAAAGAGGCTCTCTCTCTCTCTCTCTCTCTCTCTCTCTCTCTTTCTTGTCTTGTCTTCTATCCCTTTTTTTTTGGGTGCGTGTGTGTGTGTGTGTGCTTTTTTGGTTTTGGTTCTGGTTTTGGTTTTGCAGTAGATTGATGAATGTCAAGATGGGTGTTTGTTCTTTTGAACGTTTCGTTTTTATTTGTTTTCTTCTTCTTCTTCTTCTTCTTCTTCTTCTTTGGCTCAGTCAAAGTGAGTGTATGAGGGTGTGAGAGTAGGACAATATGAAAATAGAAGTGTGTGTGAGAGAAGGGGGGAAGGGGGAAAAGAAGATGTTTTGTGTAACTTTGTTCTTTTTTTTTGAGCGAATTTCTGTACATGTGAATTTTGATGGAGATGCATAGCACGGGTATCATGGATGGAGAGAGTGGGAGAGAGTGGGAGAGAAGAGAGAGAAGTGAACGATATGTACATCTTACACACACACACCTAGTATCGTATCCTCACAACCAGTTTAACAAAAAGTCTCTTATGTAGAATTCTTTTAGTATGTAGTTTGTGTATCTCTAATCCGTTCATGTATATTTTACAAAGTGATACCTAAGTTCAATTCGCCGTAAAAAAGATAAAAGGCATAGCCAGGCACAAAGCGTCTATCTCGAGCAACTCTGGAGAGGTAGGTTGCTCATTGCAGCTGCTTGGTGGGCGCGCGGTGACTACTGGCGTTTTAGTCATGGTTTTGTGTCGGCATCAGAGTTACAATATGGACTTGAAATATATGCATGTCCTTGCCGCTACTGTACCTTTCGTATCCCCACCACCACTATCCATGTCGATGTCGTCTTCGTTGATGTCCATGTCCTGAATCGTCGCCTCAGCGTCTGCAACCCCGATGTCATGCGCATGCACGATACTTTTGACATGTTCCTCTGGTTCCTCGCCCTCTAGCGCCCCCGCCAGCTGGTCCAGCGACGTGCGAATTTCAGCCATGAATCGAGTGTCAATGGTGCTTGGGTCAGCCATGGCCGATGAGAGGAGTAAGCGGCGGGTGTGGTGTGGCTGTCTGTAGGAGAGACTCGCTTTGTTGTCTTGTTTCTTTTTTCATGGTATTTTTTGTCAAGTTGGTTAATAAGTGTAAACTTAGAGTTTGTTTCTCACTTTAGTTCAGCGTAAATGAGGGTGAGAGAGAAGGAGATTATGGAATTGACGGAGTGGGAGGGAGATGGTGACACTGAAGAAAGAGAGAAAGGGAAAGGGAGATGTTGACATATACATCTTGTACACATTAGGTATAGCACTAAATATGTAACAAATCAAAGCTTAGTAGATTTGTTTTAGTATTTTGTATCTTTCTAAGTTTAGATAATTAGCTAGAAACGCATAGGCTTTTCTGCCTTGCTTGAATCTCACTGTGCTCTTGGATCTAAAGACATACACTTTTCTTGTTCTTTGAAAATGTGGAGTAATAATTGGGATAGGGGTTACGATAATGAGTGAAAGGGCTCCATTTGGTGGTGGAGATGTTGTGAGGGTGGTGGGGTGGTGGTAATCACGGTTGTTTTTGTTCTGTTTTATGATCGTCTGTTTTACTCCAGGAGAAAGTATATCTATTTATTGCACTCAAAATCGTAACCTAAAACCTCCCGTAGGATATGGAGAATATCTGGAGCCCAAGGCTTTCATCAGTCACGACTTTTCTGTATGCTTGATTGTTTTAAATTGTGCATATTGTATTTACGGAAGCTCTGCCTTTTTGTGCAGCTACAGTGTGAGTTTTCAGGTGTGAGGGTCTTCTCCCAATATATATGAGGCTGGGTCCAGCCGTTGTAGGAGAACGTTGAGGGGTTGAAATAGATTATTGCATACATGTGGTAGTGCAGGAAACGTGAGATTGTTGAGATGGGGAAGTAAGGTATAGAGAACATGAGTTTCAGGTGTAGTAAGTAAGTACTGATATTCACGGTACAAATCGCGAAGGATACTAACTAGCAATCATCTGTCAACCTATATAGGCTACTAGTGGGTAGGTTTATTGGTAGTGCCTAGAACATGGTGGGGCCTGACGGCAAGGCAATATCTGATATGTGTAGAGTTAAGATAGATTGAGATGTATATATAGTTCGTAGCCGTAAAATTCTTATGTAGTCAGTATAGACTTTGAAAAACATCTACGTAGTGCTATGTAGATCATATCTACTTCAAGAAGATCTTACACAAATGTAATCATTGATGTATTATCAACCTAATACATAAAATACTTTGCCTTGTAGTAAATTTTATGAGACAAAACAATAATACAGTCATCTGCTGTATACCCTTCCCTTTGTGAAAGAAGAGAGCCGCTAAATATATAGACTATACAACCCAACGTTAAAATACCCCAAGGTATAATCTTCCACCCCTGTCTCGCTGTAGTGTTCGTCACGTCAATATTAGGACGTATAGGAATGCTATGAACTTAGGAAACTGCATTACCTTTTCATTCATACACTTCACACTTTATTATTCTTTACTCCGTTGCTGCATGAACTCTATTAACACTGAGGCCTATGCGGCTGAGCTTGTGTATTAGGCGAATTGGCTTGGCGATCAAGAACGTGCGTAGATACAAGCTTAACTTGACTGATCTGCAATTTACAGGCTACCAGTAAGCAATCGTGGTCTATCTAAACATGGATATTCGGGTTGTGCACTGCCAGCCTGGCGAAGATGAGCTTATGACTATCATCAACGATGTTCACAGTCATTGTAAAGACGCTGGGTACATAGCTCATTTCTCTTTCACCAGTCCAGCTGTGAGATATCACTATGTGATGTGGTGCAAAGATCTTAGGGATTGGCGAAAACTCCGAGACTGTAGACTGCAGCATATCGGAGAAGCGTTTAGATGTGCTTACGGAGGAGAGCCGTGGATTGATGCGACCTATGTCCTATTCAGGGCCCCTGTCGACTCAATAATGCTAATTAAAGAGTGAGGGGAATGGAAGGATGAAAACGGAGTGATAGCATCCTACAGTGCCCGTGCACCAGATGAGCACCATCGCCAGTTGAGCACCCCCACCACCACAACAACAAAACTTCAACGCGTCAAAACTCAACCAA